TCTAGGAAAAAGGATCTACCTTCTTTCAGTTGGGTTCCTCAACCAAACAACAGTTACAGGTGATGTTTGAAGTTCTGGAACAGTATGACTGGACAGCCTTTGCTGTCATTACAACGCTGTTTCCTGGCTATGAAGATTTTGTAGATTACATTGAAGTGCTGACTGACAGCAGTTTCATTGGTTGGGAGCGCCGCAGCACTGTGACCCTTAACCTCACTGATGACCCAGATGGGGCCCGCCTCAAACGTCAGCTCCGGGATGTAAATGCCCGCATCTGCCTTCTCTATTGCTCCCGTGAAGAGGCAGAAAGCATATTTCGTGCAGCTCGAGAAGTCAAACTTACAGGTCCAGGGTACATCTGGTTCATGGCAGGTGCCAACTTTGGTAGAACTGAATACATGCCAGAGGAACTACCTGAAGGTCTCTTCATGGTGCTTTCAGCTGGATGGAAGGATGATCTCTACCACAGAGTGCAAAATGGCGTGGCCATCATTGCCAAGGGGGCTGAGGCCCTCTTCCAAGTCTATGGCTCAGTACCAAAATTCAACAATGATTGCCGGGCACCCAACCTCACCCAGTTCAACGAGAACCTGCATCGGTCAGCAGGGAAGGAGGCTGGGCAGAGGGCTTTGGGTTGGAAGGGTGGTAAAATGGAGAAAAAAGGACACTGCTGTTGTCTTGAAGACTGGACAGTGGATCTGACTCATTACCATACCATTATTCCTTCTCACTTTCTTCCCCCGCACACTCCTTTCCTAAAGCATCTTTTCCTCTGTCCAAAACAGGCATGGGAAATATGGACTCTCTAGATCAGTGTTTCCCAAACTTTGATCCTCCAGGTCCCAGAATTCCTGATTGTTGGCCCAAATGGCTAGGAGTTTTGGGAGTTAAAAGTCCAAAACACCTTCAAGACCAAAGTTTGGGAAACACTGCTCCAGATGTTGGATTATAACTCTTAGTATAACCCAGGGGTAGGCAACCTTTCCCCTTTAAGGGCCGAGGGACTTCAGCTCCCAGAAGCCTTAGCCATGTTGGCCAATAGTCCCATGTTGGCCAATAGCTCCTGGGATTCTGGGAGCTGAAGTCCCTCGGCCCTTAAAGGGGAAAGGTTGCCTACCCCTGGTATAACCCGTCACTGGATTTACTGGTGAGACGTAAAAGAAAGGAATCCTGTGACACTTTGAAGACAATCCAGTTTATTAAGGTTTAAGCTTTTGGGGACTTTGTATCAGACAAAGTGGACTCTAGTCCACAAAAGCATATGCCATAAGTAGTTATCAGTCTTAAAGGTGCCACAAGACTCTTCATTGTTGTTGATACAATGCAGACTGACACAACAGCCTCTCTGGAAATTACTTCCATCTGTTCATCACATAACCTCTACATTAATTCCTTTTCCATTCATCCATCTTGACTTTCTCCTTATCTCTGTTCATTTATCTCAGTATATCCACCCCCTCATTCAATTGTTTATCCTGATACACCACTTTTAACATCCCTGCCCCCCAACACTTACCCATCTTCCATGTTTTACTCCTTTCTTTTTTGTTCCCTCTATTCATATCTCCATTTCATACTCACCTACTGACCCTCCTATAGGGATGTCACTAGGGGTGTAGGCAGCGCAGACTGTACAGGGTGACACCTTAGAGGGGGTGTCATTTGGCGTGCCCCCCCCTCAAGGACATGAGTGATGGCAGCAGGAGGAACAGATTCATGTTTTTAACACAAACACACCTGTTTTGTTGGGTGGGTGCTAAAAAAAAATTACCCATACTGGGTATAAAACATGCCCAGTACGCTACTGCCCTGCAATCTTAATATGACCCTGTTTGTTTGTTTCCTGGTTTTACATAGCCTAATCCACAGTTCACCACTTGCTGTCTCTGAAATGTAAGGATGAGGGCTAAGGGAAAGCTAGGAGGGAATGAGGCTGAGATACTAATGGGTGGGCTCAGGTTGACAGTGAACAGCTTCCATTTTGTGTTTTGCAGGTACTTCATGAACATTACTTGGGGTGATAAAGATTTCTCCTTTAATGAAGAAGGATACCTCATCAATCCATCCTTAGCTGTGATCTCCCTCAGCAAAGACCGTACCTGGGAGGTGGTGAGTTTGGGGGGTGTTTGGGACAGTGGAGGAATGGAGATTGGGACAAATTATGAGTTGTGTCACTGTTACCTGGTAGAACCACTGTAGCAAGGAAGAAATTTACAGGAAGGTGCATTGTTGGCTAAGGGGTGATATTAGGACACATATTAACTTGGCAGTCAGAACAGTTTTGGGAAATGTTCAAGAGCCATAAACACTGCAAGCCAAAAGATCAGAGTCCCAACCCACCACTATTGTAAAGCACAGCCACTCACATGCCGGTACCACCTCAAAGCCAGGTATTCACACAATGGAGATGGCAACATGGTGCAGTCAAAACTGCAGATGCCCAACAGAAAGGAGCCAGAGAGTCAAAGAACTTCAGATTACACAGGCAGACATCTGTGGTGCACTAGTCAGTATGATGGGGCAGAGGCTGCATTCTTGATTCATGTCTTGTCACTCAGCCATAGTCAGTGAGTCAAGTGTGTCCACTCACGGCTGGATTTATGCACAGCCTAAATAAGCTAAGGACCTCTGATTATGAAGGGCTTTTAAATATAACAAATAAACAATTCCAGAATACACACACACACACACACACAGCAGCCTCTTACTCAACAGCTTAAAGTCTGAGCATGTCAAATTTTTATACACTTGTAAAGGATGTGTAGAGAACCTCGTAAAGGACATCGCTTATAGAAACATGTCCTGTCTCTATTGCAATCATGGTTGACCTCAGAGTAAGGCTGAAATAGTGAGGTTATATGAAAGTTGGGTGTCATTTTCAGGCAAAAATTTGATAAGGAGCTTCAAGCCTTGGTAACAGTCTGGAGAGAGGTGCAAGTTGAGAGGGAGAATCTTTCAGAACTGTGACAAGAACATGAGGGGATACATTTACTGAATGTGTGTGATTCTGGGATCAGTGTTGGTGGTGTGGGAAGATTTTTGGGGAAAGTTTGGGGTGTATCTAACCTTTTCTCTATGACCCGGGAGGCAGGTGGGAAGGTGGGAACGTAGAATCCTCAGCATGTCACGGTACAGGAAATTCCTGCAGCCTGTGGATGACAACAAGCACCTCATGGTGGCAACCCTCGAAGAAAGGCCCTTTGTCATTGTGGATGACATTGATCCTGCCACAAAGACCTGCATCCGGGACTCAGTGCCCTGTCGTCACCCTGTCAACCGTACCAACAGGTATTCCCATGGCACTATTGAGTTTCACCAAAGGCAGGGTAATTTTTACATTTATTTGTATACTTAGATCCTGTTCTTCTTTGGAAAAAATTAGAGTGATTTCCCATCCAATCACTGACCAGATCATTGCTTCCATGCAGATTAACCTGTCTCCTTCTCCATACACTTCAAGCAGTTAGAGGGATTCTTGCTTAGGAAAGCATGCACTATGGAGTCTGCTCTTTTTCCATTTATGTATTGTTTTTCCTCTAAGGAACTCAAAGTGGTTTGCACAATTCTTACCCACAGTTCTCCCTCACCTCTATTTTATTGTCACATCATGAATGGCTGAAGGTCACCCAGTGAACTACATGGGTGATTAGGCCTCCCTAATCCTCACCTGCTATTCTATCCACGACACCACACGGCTGTTGTTTACCTTCCACAGTGTTCCTAAACCACTTGCTGAGTTCCTTTTCCTCTTCCTTGCACTGTTCACAGCAATCACTTGGAAAAGAGATGCTGCAAAGGGTTTTGCATCGACATCCTGAAGCGCTTGGCAAAGACTCTGGGTTTCACCTATGATCTCTATCTCGTCACCAATGGCAAACATGGGAAAAAAGTCAATGGCATGTGGAACGGCATGATTGGAGAGGTAACTCTATTCCCCTCTTCAAAGACTCCCACACAAACACTTAAAACCCCCATGTTCTACTCTGCTTCCAAAGAAATCAGGAATCCTAGTTGTTATTTCTTCCTACAGATCAATAGAAACCAGAGAACTTTGGCTGACACCACTTGAGAGAACTCACAAGATTTGCCATAGGCTGTCTGCTGTATAGATACATAATACATAGGCTGTATTTGAAGGAAAGAATGCATTGGATGTATTTGATGTATTTGAACAGTACATCAAGGATGTATTTGAACAATGCATTGAGAGTGATTATAGGATTGCAGGAATAATCCAAGGTGCTTTAAAGGAAAGAGTTGTATGTCCAAATAGACACCCCATTCTAGCTTTTGGACAACCAGTGGAGAAAAATGGATACGTACAATTTAGTCAATGAACACAATGTCAGATGAGAAGATATACACTCGCCCCTCCACATTCACTAGGGTTAGGGGCACAGGGCCCCCGTGAATATGGAAAAACCGCAAATCACAAAAAACACTAAGTTTTTACCTGAGAGAACACCTCTCTAGGAATGTCTAGGTCTTCCAGTGCAGCTCTTAGGTCAACATCTGCCAGACATTGACAATAGAATTGCACTGGAGGAGCTACAAATGCCTAGTGGAGTGTTCTCTTTAAAAATCTCTAGGTCTTTTGGTCAAACAAAACTGACCATAGAGTTGCGCTTGAGGACCTAGAGATTCCTAGAGAGAACATATTAATACAATCCGTAAATAATAAAATCCACAGAAATCAAATCTGCAAATGTTGAGGGACGAGTGTATTCCCTAAAGTTAGCATATGATGTGCGTAAATGTATAGAATCTTATTCAAATGACTGGATGGATGGATGCTCAGTAGGAATTCCTTTAAAAATGCATTGAAACAATCTACTTTGAGAAGGTTGTTTGTGTGTGTGTTCTGTGCCTTCAAGTATTTTCAACTTATTATGACCTTATAACAAGGTTTTCTTGGCAACCTTATTCAGAGGGGTTTGCCATTGCCATCCTCTGAAGCAGAGAAACTGTGACTTGTCCAAGGGCACCCATTGGGTTTTCATGGCCAAGCCGGGATTTGAACCCTGGTCTCCAGAGTCATAGTCTAATGCTTAAACCACTACATCATGCTGGCTCTTCACCCCTTGGTTCACTTTTTAATTCAATTTATGTCCCTCCTTTCTTCCCAAATTGGGACACAAGGAGCCTCACAACCAGATTAAAAATCAGATAAAAATAAAGTAGAAAAAGTTATAAGACTCAGCCAAATTAAGAGGAATCAAAAAGATGAATAAAAAATACTGTATTCCCCATGTAAAGCCCCTTTCTGAGCAGCCAGTCAGTTGCTGAAATCCTGGTTGAATCTGCACTGCAGAAATAATGCAGATTAACACTGCTTTAACTGCCATAGCTTCATGTTGTAGAATCCTGGGACTTGTCGTTTGATGTGGCACCAGAGCTCTCTTGACAGAAAAGGCTACGTGTCTCACAAAACTACAAACCCCAGCATTCCATAGCATTGAGCCACAGCAGTTAAAGTGGCATCAAACTGCATTATTTTTTGTAGTGCAGATGCAGCCCCTGTCTGATTAACAAAAGACAGTAGAGATGGAGTGCCAGCCTAGCCTTCCTGGGAAGTGAATTCCACAGTTTAAGAGCAGCCCTTAAAATGGCCTTTATCCAAAATGGCCTTTGCACCTCTGTCCGTTCCTGGATTCAATTTCTCCTAATGCACACAATGAAATTCATGGGGTTACCATAAGTCAACAATTGAATGCACACACAGACACATGGGGTAAGTGGACAGAATCTTCTGTGCTATCTTCAGGTGTCAGAAAGAGTAAACAATGTTTACTCACAAGCAGAGGACCCTCATCCCTCTCCTTTAGAAAACCCAGCTTTCCTAACCTTCAACACTCAGTCTCTCTGTGAAGTCGAAGGCTTTCATGGCTGGCATCCATAGTTTTTGTGGGTTTTTCAGGCTGTGTGGCTATGTTCTGGAAGAGTTGCTTTCTGACGTTTCGCCAGCATCTGTGACTGGCATCTTCACAGAAACTCAGTCTCTCTCTCTCTCTCTTTTTCTCTCTCTTTCTGTAGGTATATTACAAGCGAGCTGACATGGCAATTGGATCCCTGACTATCAATGCAGAGAGAGCTGAAGTGATAGATTTCTCTGTGCCCTTTGTTGAAACGGGCATCAGCGTCATGGTGTCCCGTAGCAATGGAACTGTTTCACCATCTGCCTTTCTAGGTGAATTCCCAGCCCTAGGATGGGGCAAAGTAAGAAGCAGGGAAGAGTGCTAGGGTGGGCAAGAAGCTTCCTAGATTTTAGGTTTTTTGTGGGTTTTTTCCGGGCTGTGTGGCCATGTTCTAAACGAGTTTCTTTCTGACGTTTCCCAGCATCTATGGCTAGCATCTTCAGAGAAAACTGAAACGGAAAGGCCTGGGTGTATATATACTGTGAGACCCTGGATAGGGAGGAGTGGTTCCCAGATGAACTGTGTGTTGTCTGTGTTGAATAGGTATTGTACTGTGTTAATAGCATAGCTTCAGGCTATGCAATCCAGGATATTGTCTGCTATTCCCATGTAAACTTTGTATTGTTCTGTGTTGAATAGGTGTTGTTCTGTTGTAAATGGCATGGCTTCCAGGTGAGGATATGCAATCAAGGAGATTGTCTGCTGTTGTCTGCTGGGAAGCCCCTGACCCTGGTTGGTTTTCCCTTTGCATTTGCTGAGTGCCGATTTTCTTATTTTGTAGGACTGGTAGCCATATCTTGTTTACTTTGAGGGTTTCTTCTTTCCTGTTGAAATTGTCCAAGTGTTTGTGGATTTTGATGGCTTCCCTGTGCATTCTGACCTGATAGTTGTTGGCATGGTCCAGAATTTCAGTGTTTTCAAACAGCATTTTATGCCTAGGATGGTTTATGTTGTGTTCTGCTACTGCTGATTTTATCATTCCAAAATACTCCTAGATTTTATCATTCCAAAATTGGGTACATGAAGGAAGGGAATTCGGCAATCATAAAGTTTCCTATTCTTTCTCCTATTGCTTTTAACATTTTAACATAAGTATGTGGGAATGTTCTTTTAAGACCCTCCAATATTGCTAAGGCTCCATCTTGAATGCTTTTTAATATTAATTAGATTGTAGTATTTGTAATCCACTGTAGACATTGGAAGGTGGAAAGGAAAAAAATAGCTGAATCAATTAAAAAGTATTCCAAATAAAATTAAACCTTGAAATGAACAGAGAAAGTGCTCACCTGAGAGATGTGAAAATAAAGAACCCTCCTTTATTTGTGGCTCATGATGCCACAAATAGCACTTAATGTTGTGTGAGGCTGAGGGGAAAAGAAACTGCTTTTCCCACAGAAAGAGCATGCTGGGAAAATGGAGTTTGGCTTCACTCAGGATGGTGTGGAGAGTGGCACTTGTGTAAATAAGTTCTCAGAATATTCTGCACCTTCGCAAGACCCCAGTTCCTTTGTGTCTTGATATGAGTATGATTCCTGCAGTTCCTTGGAGAAACTACAACAGTTGAACTAATTTAGTTCCAGTTTATAGCCACTTTAGGTTCATAGTATTGATGTAGCCTTAAGTTATTTAAAATGTTGTTATTGTTTTAAGGAGCCTGTCAGTGTCAAAGATTCAGAATCCTTGTTTTCACCCATTAGGACCCATGCTCTCTTGGACATCCCATGACCATGGTCCCTATTTTTCTTTCCACAGAACCCTACAGCCCTGCTGTCTGGGTGATGATGTTTGTCATGTGCCTGACTGTTGTTGCAGTGACTGTGTTCATCTTTGAATATTTCAGCCCAGTCGGCTACAACCGCAGCCTCAGTGCTAGTAAACGTAAGTGCACCAAAGCTTTCAGAAAGGGAACATGGGCGAGCAGTTGGTTATCTCCAGAGATAGGGAAGAATAAATAAGCAGGTCAGATAGCTGGTACACTCAAGCTTCCAGAGGGAATGTCAGCCTTTCATTTATATCTCTTCCTATTTCCTTGCCCACCCCTTCTTTACTAGGCACTGGAGGCTCCAAGTTCACCATTGGGAAGTCAATCTGGCTGCTCTGGGCTTTGGTGTTCAACAACTCTGTGCCTGTTGAGAACCCCAGGGGCACCACCAGCAAGATCATGGTGCTGATCTGGGCCTTCTTTGCCGTCATCTTCCTTGCCAGCTACACAGCCAACTTGGCCGCCTTTATGATCCAAGAGGAATACGTAGACACTGTGTCTGGGCTCAGTGACCAAAAGGTGAGGAGAAGAGAGGGCTGTATCAGGAAAAAGAAATGCAGGCCTCATCTGTTTCCCTTCTTCTTTCCAGTGACATCTGCCAAGAGTTTGGAAATGTTATTTTTTTGGACTGCATCTCCCAGAATTCTTGAAATCCAAAAGTAAAAAGAAGCGGATTTTGACTACTTTCTGTTCAGGTTAACAGCAGTTTAATATCGACATAGTGTGAAAATCTACCCACTTTTGTGGGTTTTTTTTAAATTTAAAACCTCGTTTCTGTATGGAATTTCCCCTGTGTGATAAAGTCCCTAGATATTTAAATTTATCAAATATTATACCCCCATGACCTCATCCTGTCTCACCAAAACCCATCTAAGATTCTTGGTGGCCAACCCCAAATTTCATATCTGAATGCCTCCTCTTAAAAGGTCTGCGTGTATGTACTCATGGATAGGATTGATGGGCGAATGTCCTAAGCCACCCTCCCTTAGCCAGGGTCCTCCAGATGTGCCGGATTACAACCCTTCTTATTTCCCATGCCAGTTGGAGCCTAGGTGGAGGGAAGTGTGGTTCATACAGGCTTGGAGGGGCTCCCAGGTGGAAGACAGCTAACCTCAACCTCCAGGAACATATATTGCAGTTCCACACAGCACTCCACTGGGATGTCTTGCTGGTGCCCAGCATGCATTGTGTGTATTTATAAACCAGAACGTGTCTGATTATCCCCTGGTAATTAGCCCCTGCTGAACAACCACAGCTGTGGGGAAGGAGGGGGCCATGCAAACCAGACCAGCTGTGGCAAAGCGGCCAGGCTCCAACTGCATCCCTTTCGTTAAGAGCTAACGAGCTGGGATGTAATTAATGGACATAATTAACGTCCAACATGAAACACAATTGCAGATAAATATTAAACTACTCAGATTAACAAACATGCACTGAGTAAGGAGCAATTTGAGGGAGGTGGCAAAAGAAAAAAATCTAGGGAGTGAAAAAAAAGAGGAAAACATACTTCTACATTCCTACACATAGCTAGTCAGGATTAAGTCTCACTTAGTTCAGAGAGGTCATTCAAAGGTACGGGTATATAGGATCGCAGCCTCTTCCAGACAAGAAGCTGAGCCTAAGTAACACTAGGGAAATAATTGGAATTACCCACGTCCATAACATTGGTGGACAGCCTTTGATTTGCAGCCAAGTTTCATGCAGCCCGTGGCCTATTTCATATAGCCTCTGCAGAATCCATTTGGACCTCTGAAGAAGAATTTACTCCTTATCAGCAGCTTGCTAAGAGAAGGAAAGTGTCAGAAAGAGAGAGGGAGGGAGAACAGGGGTCGAGGAGACTGTGACAGAAGGGGTAGCTCTGCCATTCTTTGGCTCCACACACTGCTAGCTTTTAGCCCTGTCTTTACTGGGAAGGGGTTCCAAGAAATCCTGCCCCCCAAAATGTGACCCTGGACAGGTGAAAGGTTTGGTCCCCTCCGGTATATAAAGTGGAAATCCTCTTTCCATGCATTTGACAAGGCGGACGCTAGGACGCCCTCCTGGCGCAGCGTGCATTCCTGCTGCACCAAAAGGGTGTAAAAGTGCCACGGTGGTGGCACAAAGGGCTGCCTTTGGTCGCCCCCAAAAGGAGCGGCATTTTGGCGCTCTTTTTCAGGCGGCAAAAAGGAGGATCAGGGCCGTGGCCCCAATCCTCTGCTCCCAGGGACAGCCGAGAGCCGCCCCAAACAGGCCATCTGCATCACCCCTAAGTCTTCAAGATGCTATAGGAGTCCTTTTTTTAATGTGTTATAAAAAATTATTTCCCTGTCCTTCATCTTCATATTATCTCCAGTATTATCATCTCCCTCCATTTCTCTTTTCCTATTCTTCTGTCATATGCATTCCTCTATCAAA